GGTGAGGGCTGTGTATGGGGGTCTTTGGACTCATTGGTTTAGACAGCACAAGAAAAAGATCCTTGAGTAACACAGGCCATACAGTCTCAGCTAATTGCAGGGGGACATATAAGCCATTGTAGTAATTGAATTGAGATTTTCTTTAGGAACGGAACAAGTGTTTTTTGAAAATGTTTTTGCAGCTTTTTGAAGTGAAAATCTGCTTGTGGGTGGGCCTGCCTCCAGTGAAAATTTAGGGCCTTTCAGAACAGTTTATTCTCTGTGAGAATCTCATCATAGCTTTTATAGTATTTCCATGGGTCCCATTACCTATAGATAGTAAAATGTCTGAAATTGGCAAGGGAGGAAAAGGTATTTTGAACCTCACATTCTCTTGCTCTAGGCAAGGCCAGGGTCTTATGGAATAATTCCTTTAAGTTGTGGAAATTAAAAAGTGGCCTCACTTGACTTAAAGGGACCCCATGGCAGCACCTAATAGGTTTGTGTGTTTCTCAGAGATGTGATTGAAATCTCAGAACCTGTTTAACCATATACTAGCAAAATGTGCAGCCAGTTACCATTGAGGTAAAGGAAAGGCATTTGTGTTTCAACAGTTAATATAAGCAACAAAGTTGAGTCGTGCAGCCCTAATTCCTTTTTGCTTAGGAAATAATAGTCTTCATGTTTGGGGGGAAATTAGCAGCTAAATTGGGGAGGGGGCTATAGCTATTATAATGAAAGAACACATTTGCTCTGGTCACTTTCCTACTTAAAAGGCTTAATGATTTTTATAGCTTGAAATATTCCACTTACCAGTTTCCTTAAAATAATGAACTTTCTTGGGAGTGTTCTTTCTGTGGCCGACCTGTGCCTTGTAGGATTTAGATTAGCTAAGTAGTTAAATGAGCAGATTCAGGGATATCAGATTGTCATTTTAAAATTTACCTGTTTTTTTAGGTAGATTTCTTAGGAACCAAGAGGAGTCTAGGACTTTGGAAATACGGAAATGCTAGCTTTGGGTTATTCAGAAAAAAGAGCCTGAGAGGTTTTTGTGGCATCAGTTTTAGTCAACTTCAGTCGGGACTCCAATTGATGTGAGTTTGTAGCACAGTCATTTGCATAGAAAGTCGTATAGTTGAAAGTTGTACTCCTGAATTAGGTACTAGTGGTGTGGCTTTTGTAAATTTACTTATATTTCAGTTTCCTTTTCTCTCTGATGCCTACCTCAAGCTAGTCATGGTGAGAACTTAGTTATATCTTGAAAATAGCATGTACAAAATATATGGCTTTCTCTGTCCACGGCTCCAAATCCACAGATTCAATTGAGGATTTAAAATATTTCCCCAAAAATAACATTGTTGCTGACAGGTACAAGGGACTTGAGCATCTGAAGATTTTGGTATCTGAGTGGGGGTGGTCCTGGAACCAGTCCACTGAGGATACCGAGGGATAAACTACTGTTGTGTTGAATGGGAATTTGGCAAAATTTTTTTGTTATATAAACTTCCTGTTTCAAAGATACGTTGCTTCAGTCATTACCTTAACATCTCCATGCCCACCCTCACCTTGTGTGTGTTCTCTTTTTCTAACTCCTGACAGGAGTACTAAGGGTAAGTGAAAGTGTCGAACAGGTGGAGAATGGAAGAGACTTGGGCCATAAAGAAAGTGGTTAGTGTCTCTAGACCCATTGTGTCGGGGGGTGGGGTGGTGGTGGTGGTGATATTTTATTGACTTTATTCAATTCTAAAAGTAAAGGAGTATTTGTAATGAAAAGAATGCAGAAATGTAATTTAAAAATCTATGGCTAGAGAAAATCACTGTTAGTATTTTTGTGTATTTCAAAAACTGATTTATAAAGGTGATATGATTCTATTCATTCTTTTGTAACTGCCCATTTCCATGTCAAATATTGCTATACTTTTTGAAAGATTGTTTAGTATGCTTTTCATCAATTCTAAGATCCATCCCAATTTCAGGCATTTTAAATTGGAGGGGTGGGGCTCATGCACTGTCTAAATCAATGGCATATTACAATTTAATTAGCATTTTTTCTTATTTAGAACATAATGTAATAGGGCTGTTCTAAAATTGGTAATCTTAGATTCCATTAAATTCAATGCTTTGTTGTATTGATTATTTAACCAAGTTCCTACTAAAGGTCATTTAGGCCCCTCTCCCCATTTTAATCAATATTGTTATAAATCTTATTCAATTTATATTATTTATATTGTTCTTTAGTCTACATTGCTAGGAGTGGAGTGTATATTCAAATTTTTTAAGATGTTGCCCAACTGCCTCCAGAAAGGAGCCAGCTAGCATACTTGGTTGTAAACACCAATTTCTTTGATTAATACTGGCTAATTTTGTTCATTAGTTTTGCTGATTTGGTAACTGAAAAGTGGTATTTAATTTTCTTTCCATTGTTTACAGGTAATTGTTTTCTTTGTGCTTGTTGAACATTGTTTCTCAGTCCATTTTTCTTCTAAGTGTTGGCTTTTTTCATATTGATTTGTAAGAATGCCTCAGTTATTTTTGGCATGTATCGCAAGTATTTTTAACTTGGTGTGTGTGAGCTTTGCAAATTTGTAATTAGGAATTTATTCCAGTATAGGCTGATGAAAAATCTAACTTGTTTTCTTTTAGTTGTCAGGTAGCCAATTGGTTGAATTATTTCTCCTTTTTAGGGGAAGAAGAGACCTTTCTGATCTCTTATTCTCATCTAGAGAGTAGTTTACTTGATTCACTGATCTGCCTTTAAAAAAATTTTTTTTAAATTATTTGTTACAGATGTTTCTCCTTTTTCCCCATTGATACCCTCTTCTCAATCCCCCCACCTCCAAACTATCTGCCTTTTATAAGATTGAACATTGTGAACATCTGAGTCCAGATTAGGAAGAGGAAAACGGCTCCTTTGGAGGATTTGAGCAGTGACATGGGACACAAGGCAACTGCATCATGTGAAAGAGCTTCAGGAAAAAACAAGAATCAAACATGGATTGACTTAGAGTAGAATGCCTAGTTTAGCATCTCTCGCTGGCCTCAGGGCAGTGGTGAGTTGCAGCTGTAGGCTATTGATGGAAACTGAGAAATTGGGCCAGGGTGGATAGCACTAGTTTGACTTCCCTATTTATAAGGAAAGCAGAAACTCAGGAAGTAGAATCTCTGGCTCCTAGGAAAGAGGGCCTTTTTAAGGAACAACTCAAAGTAAGGATTTCTACACAAGAATTAATGGTGGAGATTCCCATGTATCCAGTATGTGTCAGCTTGGACTTTAGAATATTTAGGTCCCTGAGAATTCAATTTAATGTGTTTGAATAGACCACAGATTCCTGGGTTGGTTTTGGATGTATCTTGAGGCATCAAAGTCTGGCTGTATATTGGTGAGCTCCACCTAGTCTGATAAACTAGGCAACCTGATTTGGAATTTTGTATGTGGGCAGGAAGAGGGTTTGTGAACTACTTGGCAAGAACAGAACAGGGTTACCCATCCTCTGTCATTCATGGAAAGAAAGCTTTGTCTGGCAGAGTGAGCAAAGCAGCCAGCGTCTTGCTCATAAATGTTTTTTTTTTTTTTTTTTAATCCTCAAGGACATTTTTCCATTTTTTGTACAGATAGAGTGGGAGGGAGAGAGAGGAAGGGAGAGAGAGAGAGAAACATCGACGTGAAGGGACACATCGAGTGGCTGCCACCCGCATGACCAACCAGGGCCGGGGACAAACTACAACCGAGGTATGCGCCCTCAGCGGGAACCGAACCCGGGTCTCTCTGTACCGCAGGTCGACGCTCTAACCGCTGAGCCAAACCGGCCAGGGCTCTCATAAATGTTTTTAAAATAAACACTGATCTATGTGTTATAGCAGTGCTGCCCATGAACAGTGGGGTAGAACGGGTGTTAGGAATGAAGAACAAATGCAAACTCAGTTGTCCCTATAAAAAGGAAGCATGTACAGCTAGACTGGCTGCTGGAATGGAAGGAACAAGATGAGAGCAGTGGCCGGTGACATTTTCACTTTTTATTGATAGCCTACTATGTACCAGGTATGGTGCTGAAAAAAGATTGCATGGTTCCCCCCTTTGAGTTATTTACAGTCCAGCAGAGGAAGTAGGTGGAATTGGCATCATGTTAGGGGGCACTGAAGAAGCCTCTGCATCCTTAACAAGGAGTCAGGGAAATCTCCCTTTTTAAAACAAAAATAATTTTTATTTATTTAGGAGAACAAATGAAGAGTGCAGTATTTCCTGGGGTCTTAAGGGAACGGAATGGGGACATGCAATAAAAGTAGGGAAGGTAAGAGTGACTAAGATGGAAAGGTAATCAAAGAAAAGGATAGGAAAAACAACAGGTACAGAAAGAAAAGTTGGCTTCCATTGTGAAGAGGTGGTAGGTTGGCCAGCTTCTAAGGAAATGGCCTTGTCTTGGCCCATTATAAACTAGGCACCATGTCCTGGTTGCAGACAAGCCCATGTTGAAGCTGCTGAAATACAAGGGATTCCACACAGCAGCTAAACAGAGGAAAACGTGTAAGGGAGGGGAGAAAAACTTGGGAGAACTATTTAAGTTGAGTGGCAAGAAGCAAGGATGAAAAGTTAAACATGAACACTAAGAGCAGTGTTTGTTCAGTTTCTAGCACCCTGAGGACATGTGCCTTGGTTCCAGTTTGGGTGGGTTGGGGGTGGGAGGTAGGCCCCATGTTTGACAGGGATTTAAGGAAAAAGTTCTTGGGCCTTTCATCCAGCTTTCTTGGGAAAGTACTATTAGCAATTAGACCACCAGCTTAGCTTAAGTGCTTATAGTGATGGGAGAGAGACAGTGAAGGGCAAGGGGAGGGTGACAAGCCAGGGCCACAGTTCTAAAGGAGTAAAATATATATCATGTTCCAAGTTTGTGCTGGGGAAAAGAATTGCAGGCTCGACCTGAGCTGTCTGAGGATCAGCTCAAGAGTTTTTCCCAGGAAGGAAAGCAGAAGGACGACTTCAGAGTGGCAGTCTGAGTCGGATCCTGAGATAGCCCTGGTTCTGAAGGCAGTACGTGCTGTGTCGGAGAGAAACGGCACTGCAGAGCCTTGGCCCCCACTCCTTTTCAAGACACCTGGTTTCAGAGGGGAGGCTGCTTGCTCAGGGTCCTAAGGTGGGTTTACAGTAGCTTTCCACAAGCTGTGGTTGAGTCACTGAAAGGTGAAGACAAAACTAGGAGGAAACATACATTCTTAGGCTTCCACAAATAAGCAGTCTTGGGAGTCCTTTTATATTGGTGTTCACGAGGGTCTTTTATATCATTTGTAAAACTAGGCTGATCTGTTTTGAAGGTTCCCCTGTCATTCTCACTAATGTATCCATCTGTATATGTGTTTAATACAGTAGCCACTAAGCCCAGGTGTGACTTAATTACAATAAAAATTCAGTTCTTCAGTAATGCTAGCTAGCATAGCCAACAAAGTTACGGGAACTTGGACTGGAGTCTGTAGGTCCATTTAGTAAAGGATGTAATCTTCAGCCTCTAGAGAAGGCAAGATGAGGTATCTGGATTGCAGCCAACTCACAGTTGCTAAGATTCACCCTGAGCTTTCTTGACTACCCTCTAGCTGCAGCCAGTCTAATAGCACCCAGAGGTGACGACAGTGCTCGGAGGGCTGGGTAGATGGGCGTGCTGTACTGGTCGGGAGCACTTTGATTTTCCAAGTTTCAAGCTTCACTCAAAGCATGAGGGAGCCGCACCCCATCTTTAACCGATCCAAAGTCAGCTTCTCTCCACAGGAGAAGGTGAGCGGGTGAAGGGAACTCGAGGGGAAAACAGAAAGAGAGATGTGCTGAGGCTCCAGCTCTTCCAGGGGCTCAGTTAGAGGAGCCTCCTGTGAAGGGAGGTAATCTATGTTGGAGGGTAGGTAGCCCTCCTGGGTGGGAAGGTAGTCCACTGGGAGGACTGTTAAGGGGCTTCCTGGGTTTCCTGGCTTGGAGCCGGGGCCCTTGCCCCCCAGCACCTTGTAGAGATTCACTAGCTGTCCTGTCTCTGCTGTGAGAGCTCTTGGAGGTGGTGAGCTTGAGGCACTGTACCCTGCGTCTTCTTCCGAGGTATAGTGACCTTGGACTCCTTTTCCCTTTTCTGGCCAGTTGGAACAAAGGAGCTGTCTGAAGACTGGGGTCACTTGATGAAGGACTTCATTGATGACCAGGGGCTCAGGTTCTTTCGGAGTGGGCCAGTCTGTCAGGAGCCTGTCCAAGGGCAGCTGCATATTCTCCTGAGAAAGGGGAGGAAGAAGCTCATGGCTGTGTTAAGTAAGTAGCCTTGACAACCGACTTCCCCAGGGTTCCAAAAGGCCTCACAGTCTACTACCTACCCAGCTTGAGGAGGCCCTTCACTTCGCACGGTAAGAGAAGCAGTTAACACTGACAGGGAGGCAGACAGGCAGGAGTCATGGACTCCTTTCCACCCCCAGCCAGTAAGTGATTCACTGCCCTGCTCAGCCTTCAACCAGGCTGTTTCTGGTGAGTCCACTGCACTGGCTGCTTTTCTTCCAGGAAGGAGGGCCCACTGGGTCAGAGGAAAGGTTGGGCTTGCCTCTGCCTGGGGTAGGAGGCAGGGAAGAGTGTAAAAGGGTCACACTAGAGCTGAATCCTGAGGAGTACAGTATTTTTTTACTAAGGTTGTGGGCAAGGAGGGATCGGTCTGGAACCTGCCAATTCTTGATAGGCAAACAGGCTTCGGGAACAAGAGGAGGTGTCATGATGAAGGGACTTCTAAGGATGCTAAGGAGTTTGGATTTTGATAGAACTACTGAAAAGTTTTAGGGTAATATCGTCATCAGTTCTGCTCTAAAGAACGACCCCACTTGAATAACATTTTTGGAAGAAATTTTCATTTTTTTCTTTAACTTTGTCTATTCTCAACAGCTTAACTTTCTCAACAGCACATTGGTTACCAACTCTTCAATGTCATATTTCCTCTTTCCAAACTTGCTGCTGATCCCTGAGTCCAAGTCCAAGCACTCTATTAACATTTCTTTCTGTGGGTTTTATTGGGCTCTCCTCACATCCTGGAAACTACCTTTCACATTGACTGATCTTACTGAAGCAAAGCTCTGGAGCCCTTGAGGACTCAGACTTACACACGCAGTAAAGCTTTCAGCCTTTACCTTGTCAGTCGATTTCCTGCACCTTCCTCCTCTTTCCCATGTTTTTGTTCAGAAATTGCTTCAGGCATGCCATCCTGGTCTTACTACACCCATTTTTTTTTTTCTCTATCCACCCACCACACTTTTGCTTCCACTGCCAGCCTCCACCTGCTTCTGTTTGCAGCACCATCCCGTTTGACACATTCCTCTTTCTTGAAGCCCCTAGAGACTTCTCCACTGAGCTACAGCAGGGAAGCGACCTCCGGTTAGGTTCTTGGCACATGGTGCCTTACAATGTCACTTTTTTAAAAAAACATGTCCGTAAGCAGGGACTATGTCTTAAGGGAGGTGTAGGATGACAAAAAATAGCCTTGGGACAGGGCAAACCCTCGGGACTTGTCTCAACCCTTGACACCTCACAGCTTGGGAAAGCTACCTCTCTGGCCTTTGATTCCCTCATCTATCAGGTGTCAAGAGTAATTTGGTCTGGATTGGCTCTGAGCATGAAAAATTTTTAAAAAGTGAATGATGGTGTCTCAGGACAGACTTCTGCAAAGGGGCCGCAAGCTAGAGGGTACACGTGTGTTTCTCTTTGGGGAAACTTCTTTTCTGGATCACTGCCCACACTGGTGCTGGCATGTGGGTGTGGCTTGGCACATGGCTGGCAGCTCTGGGAAGCCGCTGTCGGTGCTGCTGTCACAGATGGGAGAGATCACACTGGCGGAAATGGCTCGTTAGCACACCACACGGGGAGGGGTTCGCTCTGCCTTGAAAGCTTTGACAGTATTGATAGAGGCTGTCCCTTTTATAAAGCAGGCCCTCTGGCGGACAAATCTTAGGCCACTCTGCTCAGGTACCTCATGGACTCTTAGACTGTTATAAGCTCAAAATGGATTAACATTCTGGTGATCCCCTTGATGATTTGGCTTTTTCCTCCAGAGCTTTAAGACATGGTTTTTTAGCCACATCTTAAGAAATGTTAGGGGCAAAGAAGGCCTGAGAAAACATTTTGTTGCATTTGAAAGATTGTTGTAGTTCTGATATCTGCCAAATCTGTCAAATGTCAAGAGTGATTTGGTTCAAGAGTGATTTCGTCTGGATTTGGTCTATCACCACTTTGGGTCTTTAAAACCAGTCCGCTCACTTCAAAAGTCAAGTAACACGGAGTTCTGAGGCCGCCTCAAGGCCTTTATCACAGATGCCATGTAGAAGCTAAATTTTTAAATGTTTCTAATTTACTGGCTATTTTTGCAAAAGAAATATATGCACATAGTTCTGTAAGAGGTTTTAAAAGTTCAAAGGAAAGTTATAATGAAAAATAAGTGGCCCTCATATCTCCAACCCCTTCCCCAAAGGCCACCCCGATTATCAGTTTTACATGTAGGCTTCCAGAAGTATCCTGTGCACATGTGGAGGGGTGGAGGGGTGGTGGGTGGGTGGGTGAGTGTGTGTGTGTGTAAAATCTCCCTCCTTTTTATACAAATAAGAATTCACTTTAGAAATAACTACTGTGCTTTTTTCACTTTTAAATATCTTGGAGATTTTTAGATACATATAGATCTTTTTTAAAAAAAATAGTTGTATAATATCCTGTTGTATGGGTATACTCAAAATGGTCAACCCGCCCTCCTGGTGGCAGGTTACATTGCGCCTTATTTTTTGCTTCTATTTATAATATTCTAATGAACATATTTATACTATACAACTTTGGGCATGTGTGTGGCAATTTCTGTTACCTTTTCCCTGTGTTACTTTCTCTAACCCTTTATGTGTCTTTCTTAGCATTTCTTCTAGGCTTTTTATGCGCCCTTGTCATACCCAGGCTGAGGCATACAGAGCCCACGATGCCAAAGCTACCAGCTAGGAAGCCAGGTGCCCATGATTGACCCAGGGCTGCTTCCCACTGTGCTGTTTCAGGCTGTTAGAACATGGGACTGTGAAATCTCAGCACTGGAAGAAAGAGACCTTAAAGCTAAGCTGGTTCAACTCCTAGTCCTTGAATCCCCTTCTGTACTGGCAGTGGCACCCTTACATTGTGCATTCCCACAGGTCATCACACTATTGCCACCGAGTGAAGGCCCTCTTAGTCGGTTCAGCTTGGAGGCATTGGCTTCAAGAAAGACTCCCCTCATACCCTGTGCTTAAAGATCTTTTAGAAGGAATAGCATAATGGTGGATGGCACATCCTGCTTTTATATGTGAATTCAAGATCCGCCATTTACTAGCTAACTAATGCTGGGCAGGTTACTTAGACCTCTGTGCCTTAGTTTCTTCATCTGAAAAACGAGCATAATAGTACACCTTCATAAAGCTACTGTATGTATTAGATGTTAGTGCATGAAAAATGTTCTTTAAAGTACCTGGCATATGTATTTAAAGTGCCTGGCAGGAGATTGATGTATAGCCGATTGATGTTCCTCCCTCTCCCCTTCTCTCTAAAATCAATAAAAACATATTTTTAAAAATATATTATATATGTGTATATAAACATATAATTATGTAGATGATATATATACAATATAAATATATAATTAAAAAAACACATAAGTTACTGCTATTATTACTGTCCTTGCTATTATAACAACAGTGATAAAACCCCGCAACAGACAGAGGAGACATCAAGTGTGAGTCTCCCTGGGAAGGAAGTGAATGATCTTTGTCTTGTGTGAGCCATGTGCTTTACAAGGCATCTTTCTTTTTAAAAAATAATTTTTTAGAGAGAGAGAGAGAGAGAGAAACATTTATGTGAGAGAGATACATCAATTGGCTGCCTCCTGCACGCCCCCTACTGGAGATCGAGCCCACAACCCGGGTATGTGCCTAAACCAGGAATCAAACCAGGACATCTCAGTCCATGGGATAATGCTCAGTTCACTGAGCCATATCAGCCAGGCCATGGCATCTTTCTCAATCCTCACAACAGTATACATGGGAGATACTGTCAATTTCTACTTTACAAAGGATGAAACTAGGGCTCAGATGTCAGGCAAGTTTGCCCAAGCGTCATCCACATGTAAGGGGCAGAGATGGGGTTTGCATCCAAGCCTTATTTCAAAGGCACTAAGCTGCAGTGACTGAATTCCTACTGAACAGACATGGCTGAGACCAGCTCCTACCTGAGCAGCAGCTGGTACCACTGGCTTCTGGCCTGAGGAAGGGTGTGGATAACAGACTGGGCACTGGGCATTTGAAGGGAAGACTCTTGGAGGAGACAGGCTATCAGGTGTGAGAAAGGGAGTGTGGGGCTGCCCACCACCTGGGCCTGGGAAGATTGGCATACTGCTCTCCTCCCCTTTGCTTTCCATAAATGCACAGTCTTGCTCCACATTCAGAAGCCTTCAACTTCCAGACCCACCACCAGAGATGGACCATCTTGCCCACTGAGAGCTGTTCTTGCCTCCTTAGACTGCCCAGCAGCAGCTCCCTTTGCTTCCTTTACTCTAGTGCTTTCATTTGCCAGCTGAGCAACCTCTCCTCAAACCCCTCTGCCATACACGATGCACGATCGATGCACGATCAGATGGCTTCCTGGCTTCCTGACAAAACCACAACACTGGGTTCTATTTACTGCTCTACGCTCAGACAGGGCTGGGAATGGCATGGATAAACTTCAGTTCTCTTGAATTTGAATGAGTCAGTGCTCAGCAAATGGCAAAAATTCTTGCTCTTTTATTTCTTTTAAGGTAAGTTGAGGTGAGGAGGGGAACATAAAACATAGAGAGATGACAAGCTATGAGTCTGAGTCTTTTGTTCATAAGCTTCAGAAAACTCCCATACATGGGAGTAACGACTCAGGTGGTACCTAGAATGAATTACTTCAGTTTGTTTATGAGCTCTAAATACCCAGGTTTCCCCTTAACTACAACAGGAGACTTAGATGTGCTGGTGTCTAGAACTCCATTGACAACCACTGAGGCTTTATACCTTACCTCCACAAAGGGATATTTCTTGGCCCAAGTGCTATTCGCTGGGTCTGGAATTTCTCTGCTACACCACTGAGGCCTGAGGGCTGAAAGGAGAACAAATACCCTGTAAAGAAAACAATGACATCTGGTTAAGTGCCCACTGCTGGCATGGAAGCCTGGATTCTTAGTGCAGTGATGTCAGCAGGGGTATGCAAATGAGTAAAATGTAAACATGAAGGAGAAAGATGATGCATCATCCAAGGAGAGACTAGTTTTTTGTGAAGTTTGGACAGGTGATAAAGAATGATGCAGTCTCTTTGGCCTTGCTAAATAAACTATGGAATGTTTGCTCAATTTAATGTGTAGCTGTCACTATCCAGCCATGCACCTATGTGACAAACATTCCCTAATGTATGACCAGCACAGTGCTGATAGAACAGCAAACAAGAAGACATGGTCCCAAGTAATGCTAAAAATAAAAAACAGGATACAAATGATATAAATAGCTTGAACACAGACCATGCCAACAAAAAATACCATAAACATTCTAACTGTTAACAGTACTTGTGTTCAGTGATCAGAGGAAATATGGGTCTTTTTTTTTTTTTCCTACATCTCTAGGTTTTTGAAAATATTTTATATGAGTTCATGTTACTTTTATAATGTGGAAGGAAAAAAATCCTAAAAAATGTTTCTTATAAATGCATGTGGTTTAAATATTTTGAATATATTTTTTAAATTCAAGACCAATATGAAGCATCTTTAAAACATTGGCTTTAATAAGCTTTGATGTTTAATAAGAATGATAAACTTCTGGAATGTGTTTAGCTCTTTGAAACAAGAAATGTGGCCATGTGACTAGTTTTTCTCCAAAGAAGTGTGAGCAGAGGTGCCTGTGACCTAATAGAGATCATGCAGATGAGGACAGTGCCCAAAGGATGGTGGGCCCATAAAATGGAATAAAACTGGGTCCCTAAATGACTGTGGAGCAGAGCTGCCAACCAACGTGGATGACTTACCTCTTATATGGGAGATAAATAAACTATTTTATTAAAGCCAGTATATTTTGGGTCCTGTTTTTTCTTTTCTTTTTTAACAGCAGAAGCTTTGACCTTAAATGATACAATTGCTCTGAAGAGGATGCATGTGATCCTAGTCTACTCTTTTTAGTTAAACTTTTCTACCAAATGAGAGCTCTGCTTTGAAGTACCTATCACCCCTGGGGGCTCAATAAATACCAAGCCTGTCAGACAAGTTCAATGGCTAGTACAATGACTGAGCTAGTTTTATTTTTACCTCCTCTCACTTTACACAACATCTGAAGAAAACTTTGTATTGAATAACTACCTCATTTGAAATTTCTTAATAAAAATACACGTTCAAAAAAATTTTAGAAAATATAATTAGCCCGGCCAGTGTGGCTCAGTGGTTGAGCATTGACCCATGCACCAAGAGGTCGCCAGTTCAATTCCCGGTCAGGGCACATGCCCAGGTTGTGGGCCAGATCCCCAGTGGGGGGCATGCAGGAGGCGGCCAATCAATGTTCTCTCTCATCGATGTTTCTCTCTCTCCCTTCTCTCTCTAAAATCAATAAAGAACGAATAATTAAATAGAACAAAAATAACCCATAATTTTATTCCCTGATATAATCACCATTAATATTTTTGTGTATATTCTTGGGGCAGAGAATGTTCATTGCTGACCAATACTTGTTTTCCTCTCTTCCTTAGGAAGAGCACCCTAATTTATTGGGACAACCATGAACCCAGCTATAAGGGCACAATTTTAAACCTCCCCACTTCACCAAGTTCTGGCCAAAGAAGTCTAACCATAAGTATTCTATGTGACTTCTTCATGTAAAGTCTTCTGAAAAGGGACATGTGGGCTCCTTCTTTTTCCCTGTAGTTGTAGAATGCAGGCATGATGGCTATAATTCCTGCAGCCATTGGACCATGCAGTGAAACTGATGGAAGCCAATGTCAGGATAATGGAGCAGAAAGATACAGGAACCTCAGTTCCTGATAACTATGGAGCTATACACCAACCCTTTATCTGAGTTACTTCCCTTACCTGGGTGAGAAACTGTTAGCTATTTTAAGTCATATTATTTTGGATTTTTATCTTACAACCAAATTTAATGATAACTGATAATGTATGTGTGTGTGTGTGTGTATGTATGTACTATTTTTAAGAAATGGAAATACATTTTTTAAGCTGCTTTTTAAAATATAGCAAATATTTTTCATCTACATTTTTAATGGATACATAATACAGCTATATAGCATATGATATATCATGATTTAGTTAATCCCAGATCATTGAGCATTTATGTTGTTTCAAATTATTTTCCTTTTATGAACAATACTTTAGTGAACATACTTGCCATCAAATACCCGCATACCCTTAGGATATACTTAGAATAGACGTCTACTTAGGAATTGCTAGGTCAATGGTAAAATATTTTTAAAAGTTTAACATATACTGTCACTCCAAAAATTTGAATAAATTTAGTCTGCCACCAGCAATATATGAGAGTGTCCATTTCTTGGACTTACAGCAACAACAGCAATTATCATTTAAGAAAACACATTTACCAAAATTGTCAGGTGTACCCAACTTACTTTTGCCGGAAGTAACGGACTGAGAAGATGCCCACCATGATGACAGCAGTGCAAATGCTCGGTACCACAAATGTGCTCAAACTGGCTTTCCCTGAAAAGAGCAAACCCTGTGACTGAGTTATCTTTAACGAACATGTCAAAATTCCTATTGTGTGCGCCCTCTGGGCCCAACCCACAGCTCCTGGGTAGCTGGGCCCAGGAACAGGCCAGCTCATTTTATCAGTACCTTAAGGGGGAGGGGCACCCAGGGAGCCAATTCTGTAGTTCTGGGAGGAGCTCCAGCCTCCCCAGGCTTGCTCCTCTAATGGGTGGGGGGAAAGCGGTGTCACATATAAAGCACTGGTTGGGAGCCCTGGATTCTAGTACTGAGTCTTCCACTGACTGATGTGTGGTCTGTGGACCTCATGATAAAAGGTGAAAGATGATGTCTACCTGCACGTTGCTATGAAGACTAGAGACAGTGTATTTACAGCACAAGGTGATGTAACTGAACATCGCAGGCCTGAGAGAAATAGTAGCTAGTAATTTTACCAAACCATTGGATAAACTCTCTATCTAACTAGGGTCTTTGAAATTGTTTTGATTTCTTCCTATGAACATGTATTTTGCCATGTGTCAGAATTACTCATAATTCATCCAGCATTCATTAACCATGTACCAGGCCCTATTAGGTGCTGAGATACAAAGATGAATAGGAACATGGGCTCTGCTGTCTTCAGAAGTCATAAATGTAGCCCAGGAGAGAGGTATGTGAACATGTAAACAATTGTAAAAACAGGCATGTACAAAGTTGTGTAGCAGAGAACAGCATGGGATATGGCGTCATTTGCAGCTCAGGATGGTTTCCCAAAGGCATGATGTCAAAAGTTTAGAGTTGGATGGATAGGTGTTGGCTAAGCACAGACTAGACCGAGAGCTATGCAAAGCATGGGTGGAGGAACAGCACAGCACTTTCTGGTCTTGCTTTTTAGTATAAAGGAGTGTGAGCTAGAGGACTCCGAAGCTGGATGTGTGAACAGGACCAGATCCTGGTAACAAAGCAGTATGAATTCTAGCTTGAAGCCCTAGGCCTAGGGGAACCACTGATGGGTTGCAACAAGAGGTAGAATGTCAGCTCGCGGGGTCTCGCAGAAAAATTCCTGTGATAGAATCAAGGACAGGCTGGGAAGGAGGGTGAGCAGGGGGACTAGGGGCCAGAGACCTGCTAGGCCTGGTCAGAGGTGTGTTACCAGGGCTGAACGGCGGAGTTAACAAGGCAGCCTTGTTACCACCCTGTACAATCAGCCCAAGTTGATATTCCTTCAGCATCTGCTTTCCTTCCAGAGCAGATGGGACACTCTGGAGTACCACGAGTAGAATGATGCTGAATTCTTAAGTGAATTAATTGCTCACAAGTGAACTTTCATGGGAGTAACTGGGAGATGAAAAGAGGGCTTTTCAATTTTCCCAGTGGAAAAGTACAATGATCAACTTGATACTCCATGTCACAAAGCAAGAACAGCTTGTTTTACCCTTGGAGCAAATGCAAACTAGGGCTGCCAGAGAGAACAGCGTAACTTAGCTGGTGCAAGCTCATGATAGCTGGGTCCCTTCTTCACATACTCGAATTTAACCTAAGTAACTCAAGTCTGAGTTTGATTTTAGTTCTGCTATTTACCGCCTCTATGACCTTGGGTAATTTTTCTGTATTGTACACTTGTAAAAAGACATCCTAATCCCTCATTTATTCATTTCATATTGGGCACCTGGTAGTGTGACCAGGTATAAGGTATAATCATGTAAAGCAGTCACTTTACATGGTTGTGGTCAAGATTAGATGAGTAAAATTCATATTTTGAAGTCCTAATCTCTAATACTTCCAAAAGCAGCCTCATTTGGAAATAGGGTCATTACAGATGTAATTAGTTGAGATGAGATCAGACTGCAGTAGGGTGTCATTTAATCCAATATGACTCTTGTCCTTATTAAAAGGGGAAGTTTGAACACAGACACACACAGGAGACCTCAACATGAAGGTGAAGGCAGAGATCCACAGCTGAGGAACACCAAAGAGTGCCACCAGACTCAAGGTGGGAGGCTTAAAACAGATTCTTTCATAGCCCTCAGAAGAAACTATGCTGACACCTTGATCTTAGACTTCCAACCTCCAGAACTGTGAGAAAATACGTTTCTGTTGTTTAAGCCACCCAGTTTGCGGTGCTTGGTTGCAGGAGCCGCAGCCAACTAATAAGCCTCGGTCATTAACCCAATGACCGGTACACAACTATCTGATATGCATTTACTGCTATTGTTATTGTTGAGATTATTCTCATTGTTCATTAAACAGATAGTTAGTGAGCAAGTACTATGTGCTGGGCACCATTCTAGACCTTGAAGATAGAGATAAACAGATACCAGTCCTGCCTGTAGGATTTAGAGTTTTGAATATGGGTTAAATGTAGTACAGTATGAAGGAAATATGGAGGTGCATTTGGGAAAGCTTCCTGGAGGAGGAAATATTTCCACTGAGTTTTGAGACATGAATAGATACTGTCTCCAAGCAGACAATAACATGGTAGGGCAATCCAGATAGAGGAAACAGCAACTGCAAAGGTGTAGCAGTAAGAAAGTCATAAGCAAATTGCTTGGCCAGTGTGGCTCAGTGGATTGAGCATTGTCCCATGGACTCAAAGGTCCCGGTTCCATTCCCGGTCAGGGCACATGCCCAGGTTGTGGATCGATCCCTGGTGGGAAGCATGCAAGAGGCAGCTGATCAATGTTTCTCTCTCACATCGATATTTCTATCTCTCTCTCCCTTCTTCGCTCTCTAAAAAAAATCAATAAAAACATTAAAAAAAAGAGAAAGTTATAAGCAAATTAAAGAAAACCTGATCATCTCCATGCCAAAGGTCGTGGGACTGTGCCCCTGTGTGGGAATCCAGGGTGGACTCTCTATCTCTAATATTGCATTTTACCTTGTAGACAAAACTCCCTCTTGTTTCCTTGGGGGCTTTCACCAGCAGCTGTCAGAGCCGTCATCCACAGGACGTGTCTTACCCAGGGCTGCAGGCTGTCTAGTGCGTGTGAATTTGGAGAGGCCCTATAGGGAATTTCTGAAAGGAAGATAAAGATAAAGTAAGAAAGGTACATATTAAAGGAAATATTCAAATATGGGCTTTTACTCATTTTTAGTTGTTAATGCTTCATTTAATTTGAAAGAGAAAAGCACATTTCTGTTTTAAAATAGTCTTAATTAATTAGTACTTAATACTTTAGTAGGCCCTAGACACTGTCATTTATGGAGGCTTCACTTCACACCATATCAGAAGTAAATCTTTTTCTTTTTTTTTTTTTCCACATCTTTATTGTTGGATGTAAAATGTATTACAGATGTTCCACATTTTTCCCCCATTGACCCCCTCCTCCCCACTCCTGCCCCCCTCCCACTTTTTCCCATACTATTGTCCGTGTCCATTGGTTATGCATATAAGTTCTTTGGTTTATTTCTTCCCACCCCCCCAACCCCTTTCCCTTTGAGGTTTGTCAGTCTAGCAATGAATTTGTGCTTCTTAATCCCTTCACCTTTTTCATCCATTCCCCCAACCCCTTTCCCAACTGGCAACCAACTAAATGTTCTCTGTATCTATGAGAATGTTCCTGTTCTTCCTGTTCATTTTGTTTGTAGATTCCATTGTTGATAGATATGTATTCATTGCCATTTTGTTTGTTCATACATTTTATCTTTTTCTTTAAAAAGACCCTTCATCATTTCATATAATAACGGTTTGGTAGTGATGAACTCCTTTAACTTTTTCTTGTCTGGGAAAGTTTTTATATGTCCATCGATTCTAAATGACAGCTTTGCAGGATAGAGTAATTTTGGTTGTAGGTTCTTGGTTTTCATCACTCTGAATATTTCTTGCCACTCCCTTCTGGCCTGCAAAGTTTCTTTTGAGAAATCAGCTGACAGCCTTATGGGAACTCCCTTGTAGGTAACTAACTGCCTTTCTCTTGCTGCTTTTAGGATTCTCTCTTTGTCTTGAACCTTTTGCATTTTGATGATGATGTGTCTTGGTGTGGGCCTCTTGGGGTTCATCTTATTTGGGACTCTCTGTGCTTCCTGGACTTGTATGTCTGTTTCCTTCACCAAGTTAGAAAAGTTTTCTGCCATTATTGTTTCAAACAGGTTTTCGATTTCTTGTTCTCTCTCTTCTCCTTCCGGCACCTCCAAGATGCGAATGTTGGCACGCTTGAAGTTGTCCGAGAGGCTCCTTACGCTATCCTCATTTTTTTGGATTCTTTTTTCTTTTTGCTGTTCTGGTTGGGCGTTTTTTGCTTCCTTATATTCCAAATCGATGGTTTGCTCCTTGGATTTACATACTCTATTATTGAAGCTATGTAAATTATTCTTTATTTCGGTTAAAGCCTCCTTCGTTTCTAACTGTGCAGCGATCATTTCTGACTGGTACTTTTTTATGCTCTTGAGGCCCTCACTGAGTTCATTGAGCATCCTTATAAGCAGTATTTTGAACTCAGCATCTGTTAGGTTGCTTATCTCCATTTCGCTTAGTTCTTTTCTTGGGGTTTTGTTCTGTTCTTTCATTTGGGACCTGTTTCTTTGTCTCCTCATTTTGGCTGCCTCCCTGTGTTTGTTTCTGTGTATTACTTAATGAGAGATATGGGGCTCGCTGAGACCCGATGCTGCTCGTTTGAAAGAATTTAGGAAAAACCTGAAGCAGGATCCAAGACAGGCCAATCCTATGGTTAAGCAAGTAGCAACAGCTTGGGTGGGCTTGAAAGTTGTGTGGGGCGGGGCAGGGCGGGGCCTCAGGGAGTCAGCAGGGCGGGGCTACCAGTGTGAACCAGGTTGCTGGAGTCCCAGATATGGCGACTGTCTGCCGCCCCAGGGAAGGGCTCACCAAAGGAACAAAGGCCTCTTGCAGCACGTTTGTCCCCGAGGAAGCCCCCCTCTCCAGCCCTCGCTCCAGTGCCAAACAGCTCAGTTCTCCCCTGTATGTCTCTGGTGCCCCTCGAGCTGCCTCCCCTCCGAGCTTAGAGGGAGAGAGTCCGATAAGTCCGTGCGCAGGCCCTTTAGGGAGCTGCCTGGGGCTCCAGCCGCCTCAGCTTCCCTGAGCCTCAGTTTCTGCTGGTTTTTCCAGCCAGAAGTTATGGGGACTTCTCTTCTTGGCACTGGAAACCTGAGCGGGGCACCTGGTGTGGGACGGGGACCCCTCAGTCCCCAGGAAGGACCTTCCCAGCCGCGGGAGCCTCCTGATTTTTATCCGCCACACTTGGGTGTGGGACCAGCCCGTCGCGCTGCCGCGCCGCTGCCGCCACCCCTCGCGCCGCTGCCCCTCCTACCAGTCTGGATGTAGCTGCTTTTTTTTTTTTTTTTAATTCCGTAGTTGTAGGACTTCCATTCAGCTTGATTTCAGGCGGTTTTGGATGATGGTTGTTCTGTAGTTTTGTTGTAACTTGGATGTGGTTGTGGGAGGATGCGATACTGCGTTTCCCTACGCCGCCATCTTGACCGGAAGTCAGAAGTAAATCTTTTTCAGTGGTAAAATCTTTTGAGAGAATTTTAATCATTTACTTTGAAAATTATTTAGCTGTAGTTAACTCCTTTTTATTTCCTGAAATGTTCCTGGCATTTACTGGGTACATTTGAGACTTCTTGGGGAGGAAATTTAATGTACAAATTATTTTCAATGGAATTTTAAAGAAAGTTAAGTCTAGCAATTAATAAAACATATTTAAGTGACATTTATTAATTTTGATTTTCCATTTGGCTTAATATGATGATCTATAGTTTGACGTAAAATCTAAAACCCAGAGCAATGGTACTTAAGATTAGACTTATTTTGGCAGTTTAAGCCGACGTCACCAGTTCCTTGTACTCTCTCCGCCACTGCAGATTTTTGGCAGGGAAGGTTTTTTTTTGAGCGATGCACCGACACTGTTTTTCTCCTCCAAGAAATGTGTGTCGGTAGCCTCCAGTGAACAGGCACTCTGCTCCTCCAGTGATCTTCTGGGTGTGAGTCTGCAGTAACCTCTCAAAAGCTGGGATGGGGAACCATATAATTAAGGTCAGAACGGCGGCAGGAGCTGCCTGCTGGCTTGCTCCGCTGACTTGCGCCTTTGCTGGTGATCGCAGTGGAAACTAGAACCCAGTACCCTGTGCCTCAACATCATTTCATGGCTCGCGAACCCCGGGGCAAGTCAGATGATGACCCTGTCTGCTGAAATTATTTCAGCCGTCACAAACATTTATTGAGTGTCTGCCCTGGACAAAGCACCAAGTATACAAAGGCATGTATCTGCCTCAAAGAGATCGCCATCTAGTAGGGAAGACAGACCCCTTACACTGCCCCCCTGCTTCCTGTGGGTGACCAGCCAGATGGAGCCCTGTAGTAGTACATCCACTCCACCCAAAGGGGCTGAGGTCGGAGCGGATCACTTAAGAGCTGTGACTGTTAAGGCAATTTCTGTATTTTATGCCCTGTTGAGAAAAAGTACCATGTGGAAAACTCCCAGGCCCACTCTGATGAAATTGTGTACACAGACTTAAGCTATATGATTAGACAAAAACATCTTTCCTTATTTCTAAGTTAGGGGATTAAAAATTAAATTTGGAGCAACCTTCTGCTCATCTTGCTGCAGCAAAGCATCAGTGAGCATCAGGGAGTGGACCATCGGATTGTGTGAGGGCATCTTGGTTCTGGGAGGGAAATGAGACATCGGAACAGGAGAGGTTTGAATGGTGTGCTGGGCTAAAACGTTTACACACACACGTATTTGAAGAGTAAAAACAGAAACTTTATGGGGGAGCAGTAAGGAGGACGATGGTGTCAGCAGTCTGGTTGGCAAAACAGGCTGAGTTGAGTAATGGGAGAAAGGAATCATGCAGGAGATACTGGTTCTGCTGCCTGGGTCTGGGCTGTGATCTCCCGCAGATATAGGGGCCCTTCAGTCCCTGGCCCTCTGAAGCTTTAGGCTCAGGGTGGTTAAAGGACAAAGGCACCAGTTTAGGAAGATGTGATAGTTGCCAATCATCTGACAGGCAGTGGGTAAGAAGGTCAAGTGGCCTCAGGCAAACCAGCTGCACTGTCACTGAAGATTAGTTTTCCCCCAACATCTACATTGGTTTAACAAAGTGACAAAGTGTAGGGTGGTAACCACCCATTTGTTATTCAACAAATACTGTTTTTATTAAGCACCTACTGTGCCTGTAAGCACATGGGAGACAAAGGGGAGCAAACAGCCATGGCATGGCTTCTGCCTTCATGATGCTTAGAGTCTGCGGGCAAAAGCAGCCAAGTAGAACAAAGCATAGTGTGCACAGGTAGAGAGATGCACATGGCGGTACCGGCAAACTTCCAGCGGAGAAGCTGCGCACCAGAACCCCTCGGGAACTACCAACATGCAGGTGCCGGGGCCCCGCCCAGTTCTGCACCTCGCTTCTCCTGCCCCGCAGGCTAGTGCTCCTGCCGGTGCAGTCCAGGGCGGGCGGGCCGGCAGGTGGTGCCACGGAACACTAGGACCGGGAGGACAGGCTTCCTCTCGGATCTGCTTCCTGCTTTTGCTGCTATGGTGCCTCTCTCTCCTGGTTTGTTTCTCCTTCAGCCTCCTGCCCCTATTGCTCTCTAGAAGCTGCACTTGTGAATTCACCTGTGATTTCTGGTTATGAAATGCAAGAGAGAGCTGGCCATCCTTGCTTACAGCAGTTACATCATTTTTGTGTACCTTCCCATCTCCTTCAGTAGCTACCAGTGAAGCAGCCTGTTAACTCTGTGAAGACAGGGAAGGGCTCTTATTCATCAATAAGTGCTTAATGAATAAAAGGAAATTTTAATCGAAATCAGTATAAAATAGGACTTTGAATCTGGGCCTCCTCCCCTTTTGATGTATTTAAAAAACATCGTTATACAGACTAGTATTATCAGGTTTGTGGCAAAATAAAGTAGGTATTTTCTTCTACATCTCCAAGAGCAGCTTGAAGAACCAAATGACCATGTTGATATGTCTGGCTGTAAACAGGCATCTCAGTTTAAATTCTGCCAAAATGAAAACGGGGCTGGAGGGGAGCAAATTCCACATGGAGAATTTGAAATGGCTCAAGAAGAGGCCACTGATTCATCCCCTTTGGGGTGGTTTTCAGAACTGACCTACACTGACAGGTCCAGTGCGAAGCAGTTCTGTCCAATGACACTGCCTATTTGTCACTGGTGGGTTAGTGAACAACTGTAAGGTCTGATAAGGGAACACTAGAGAGCTGTTACAAAGAGTGAGACAAATCCACATGGGCTGATGTGAGGAGGTCTCCAGTATAGAGTATTGAGAAGTAAAAGCACGGGGAAGATCAGAATATGGATGATTATTCTAAGTACATGCTTGTATAGATAGGTATTCCATTTTTTCCTGGATGAACAAAGAAAGAACTAACAGCCTAAGTATAGAGGAAGGGATACTTTTGATTTTATGTCTTACTGTACTATTTGAATGTTTTTATCATGTATAAGTATTATTTATATAATACAAAATTAACTAGCTTCAAAAGTCATAACTCAGAAAAGCAACACTGCAGGTCTTCTAAGGTCAGGAGAGAGGACCAACTGCTAATGTTTCCTAGGTAAAAGTCACTCTTGCAAGCAGCACCCTGGTCCTCACACCTCAGGGTGGCTTTGTTACATTCTTCTTGGACCCACTAGCTCTCATGGAGAAACAAAAATGTTGCTTCATTATGATAAATTCTCCTGGAAGCAAGCAAGCTGCCTATGAAATAAGGAGAAGGGCAAGCCAGGGAAAAAAATAACTCTGAATAAATCAAAGTTAGAACATCAAATCTGGTAGGTGCCTTGGAGTTTGCTATGAATGAGTGATCCACGAAATCATTTAAGATAATGCTCCAGCTAGACTTTACTTTTAATTGCTTTAATCTTATAGTTATCGAATAATTATAGGACATAGGAATTATTTAAGTTGTATTTTATCCATTTTGAGAAGAAAATAATATGCTATGATGGTGTTTGCAAATGTGGGGACTCGAAAGTTCTCCAAATGCATTTCTTGCAAACCCCAAGGGTCTATATAATAATACTCAAGTGTCTTCATTGCTTTTTGAAATGCCATCTCCCCATATGAGTACGCTCCTTGACAGCCTAGACCATTATTTTCATTTCTTTAATTTGCTTGGCACATAACATATATTTAGTCACTGTGTGTATGTATGTGTTTAGATGTCTTTTATTTTTCTTCATTCAATTAATTTCACAATACTTACTGAGCACCTACTTAGTGCCAGGCGTGGTGCTAGCACACTGTGTAGTGTGCATATGCTGCGTTCTCCTGACCTCTGAACATGAAAGGCCCCATGGCATGGGTTTCTCACACTCACCACAAAATCGAGGCTGGGAACTGGAGTCCTGTTCCTTCCAGTATATCCTGTAATGGAGGATGCAGCCCTTTTGTTCCTGGGCTGGAATTTCGTCCCATGAAATTAAAGTTCTCCCCTTTTCCTCTGTGATGGCATTAATGTAGGGGCCACTCAGTGGTGCTATAAAGTAGAACACAGGAGGCTTTTGTCACCCTCCAAATCCAAATCATGAAACTAAAGCAAAATTTGGCAGAAGGTCCCAAGACTCACCTTTGTGCTTCGAGTCCCCCCGGGTGGAGCTGCATCCTCCCCGGTGCCCTGACAGCGCGTGCACGCGGATTTCGTAACAGACGTAGGGCCTTATGTTCTCTGCAAGGAAAAGGGAGTCCTCATCACAGGTGGCCTCACACGGGCGTCACTGAAGGAGCCGCTTCAGCACCTGATACAGGTGCATTCAAGGCATTCTTGCCTGTTCTTGGTTTGAAGATGGCTCAAGTACAATCTCAACTGAGGGCAAAAGAATGACCTAAGCTGCAAAATCTCAGCCTCTTATTTGTCAGGGCACCGGCTCCTGGAAGCCATGGCTCCCAACTCCCAAGTTCACCTAATAGAGAACAAATAAGCAAACCTGAAGTTTCTTTCCAGGGTCATGATTAAGGAGACAAAAGCTAGCCCAGTCCCAGCAAGGATTTAAATATAATTACACAGACAGCTTTTGAAACAAACAAAACTTTCCTTCGAGAGAAAAACACTTTGACTTCTACAGATAAATCATTTGCCACTTATCAAAAAGTGAGGCTGGAGTTTTTCAGACATAGAACCCGGAAGGCTCTTCTAATTCCATAGATGCTTACCAGGATCTGACAGGGCAGCTAAGGTCGACACCAGGCACACGTGGTGCAATCTGACCCGTTGCTCCCCCTCCCCCTCTTCCTGCCCCCACCATGTTCCAGTTAGATCTCCGTTGCTTCACAAGAAGACTTGGAAGATACCTGGGAAAGTTATGCTCCTTTGTAGCTCCCAAGTGCCACACTTTGCCGTTCTATCAACCATGAAGTGTACTGGCAAGTCACTCTTTCCTACCTAAGTTCCTTATTTTATTATTTCTACTTGTTACAAAGAAGAGGCCCCTCTCACAGATACTGCCCATGACATGTCCTTAAATTCTCAGTGAAAATTTAAAGGAAAATGAGAGATGATCCCTACTAGGTAACTACAGTATCAAATGGTCAGAGCAAGAACTCTCTCCCATAGTGTTCAAAGACCTGCCGTAGGTAGACCCGGTCCCCTAGCACTCACAATTGATTAGGATTTAACATTTCCTTTTTTTTTTTTTTATCTTCACCCAAGGACATTTTTCGATATTTTGTTCAGATAGAGTGGAAGGGGGAGAGAGAGAAACATCGACGTGAAAGGGACACATAGAGTGGCTGCCACCCGCACGACCAACCAGGGCCGGGGACAAACTGCAACCGAGGTACGTGCCCTTAGCGGGAACCGAACCCGGGTCTCTCCAGACCGCAGGCTGACGCTCCAACCACTGAGCCAAACTGGCCAGGGCTAACATTTCCTTTTTTGGGAAGAGTTTTACATCAGAATAATTTACAAAAATAGTGTGTGTTATAAGTAGACCCACTGTCCCTTAAATTTTCCAGCAAATAAGCAGCATGTAAAGCTCAAACACACAGTTCTGTCAGAGTGAAAAAACGAATGCACAGGTGAGTTCCCATTTGTATTCATGAACTAAGAGAAATGGAGAAAAGGACGCAGTCAGCTTAGTCCAGTAATCCAAAGATTCTTCATAGGTGGTATCCACACCCGGAAGCCCCCAGGACAACATGGAGTACGGAATCACACTCCATCTGGGAATGCCAGTGCCTGGCTGTTCTGCTACTAGTGCAGAAGGTGCCAACCAACCACTGTACCATGCAGAGGTGTGGGAGCTCCAGACGAGCTCATTCGGCAAACGCTTTTGTTGCCTTTGCCACGCAAAATGTGAGTTCAGGGTAGAAGCCTTGGGAACAGCTGCATCAGAAGCTGTGGGCTTCTTGTGAATAGCCTACCCTTCGTGGAGAAGGGAAGAAAATGTGGCTCCTTAACCCAGGTGACGTTTCCATTTCCATAAAGCGTAGAGCCCTACCAAGCTTGTTCCTTGGTTCTGATCTCGAGGACTCCTATTTTACTGGTTAAACCTTATACAAACACCCCTTAGTCATGTCCCCCCCTCAAAAAGTCCTTAGCCCTGCTGTGCAGTGTGGCAGCCCAAACTGTTAAGACTTTCATTTCTTCAGTCTGGCCCCAACTCCTGGACCATTTCCTCATACTCCCATGCATGCCTGGCACCCCTGAGCAAAGGCTCTGTCTCCACATTTATAAATAATCTTTTAGGTCAATTTTCTGCAGAAATCAAACGTCACCTATTAAGTATGGGAGAAGGCAAACACTAAGTGATCAGTAGCGAGGAGTAATCCTAGAGGAAGTATGAGGGAGCACGCAGAAGGGGGGCCCAAAATAGCATAGAAACCAGGGAAGGTTTTATAGACATGTCTATATATGTAAAAGGAGTGGCTCTGTATGCCTGAACCATTTTTATGCAGACAGGACAAGACTGAACATTTCTAGCCTAGGTCTCACCAACCTATAATCCTGGAGCTCGGTTGTATTCTGGCCTCTGTCCCAGCCAGAAGCTGAGGATGCAATGGCAATGAGTCATCTTACTGACTGGAGAGGGTCACTTTGATTTCTTGGTAACAGTGGATTACTTCATTTTTTAAGAGTTTATTTTCAGAGTGTAACAGCAACACAAACGAATAGTTAACCAAATGTTTTCAAGTAGCAGAAAAACTTTAATAAAGTTATTTTAGCAACTATTATATTGCTCTTGTTCAAACGAATATTTCTAAAATGCTTTAAAATATTTGTTTCCTAAATATGGAAAGCATTCTCTCTTTTCACCTATTTTATGGTATTTTGTAGATTTATAAAAGAAGGAACTGTAAGTACTACATGATTCAAACTATCCTGCAGGGGTAAATTCTAATACAGTTGACAATAAGCAATTACAATTGTGTAGCAGTTTAGCATTCACTAAACAACTGTTCTACGGACTGTTTCATTTGATATGATGGGCACAACAGCCCTCAAGGAAAATTGGTTCTACTGCAACAACCCCAGGGACAATCAATTGTCCTATTAGAGACCATAACAGGTAAGGAAAGCTCATTCTCAAAATCGAGCTGGCCTTATCATTTCCATGCAGAGGACTCAGTTTTGCCCTCCAAAACAATAAAGAACACACACTCTTTTTTGTGTACATGTCAAAGCCAGCAATAGCCATCAAACCCCTCCCCTCCCCCACCTATTATTCTCTTCCATGTGCTAAGTGGTTTCTACATTAAAAGTTCCAGAACCCCAGTGACTTGCTTACCTTCTCTGGCTCACTGGGCAGCATTCTCTTTAAGTGTAGTGATTAAAACTGAACATAACTCACTAAAAATATGAGCAGCTCGACTATTGAAAAAGGCTCACAGGGAAGGACCAGCTCAACATGTTACTATGTGGTGTGCTCTGTTTGTTTCACCCGTGTGAATCTTGTTTTCTTAAGCAGGGCATGTGCACCCTCCTGGACAGGTGCAGTGGCTGTCATGGTGTAATAAAAGTATTACGGGATTTAGAGCTTGAAACCTATTAACATCTTATCTCTGTTACATATAATAATAATGATGATAACTAAATTATCAAGCACTTAAAATGTGTTAGGCACCGTTCAAAACATTTTCTCTGTATTAATTCATTCCTCACAATAGCACAATAAGGTGGATAGTATTATTATCCCCATTTTACAGATAAGGAAACTGAGGCACAGAGTAGTTAACTGATGTGCCCTAGATTACACAATCTAGAAAGTGACAGCGCCAGGACTCAAATTTAGATAGTCCAGTTGCAGAACCAGCACTTAAGTGAACTTATACTTAAAAATGGCTTTGCCTAAATTCTGTCCAATCATTTCAACATGCTCTTTGATGCTTTCTATCACTTGATTGTAACTACCGACAGATTTGGAATTTGAGGATTAGAGGCACCAATTATCATATAGATAATTCTAAACTTATTATCACACAAATAATAAGCAGAACTGGGAATCAAAAATCTGGTATCTTCACCTATATATCAGGCATGATATAACTCTTGCTGCACATGATTTTTCTGAGACTTAAATGAAGTCCCAAATGTAAGGTGCCCATCACACTGCCTGGCTACTACTTAGCTCTTGGCCATGCTCGTTTGGTTTCATTACTCACTTATCTTACACAGCACTAGGTCAGGCACGTGGATTTTCCATAAATGCCAGAGCTTTTAGTTGACCAGGTGGTCTTCTGTAGCTGCAGCAGTGTATTCTGAGGTGCTGTCCTGAAGGACCCTAGGTCATCACTATCCCTCTTTCTCGTGTAGCCGCTTGTCAATGAAGGCAGGCTTTTGGGTTCCCACCTGCAATGTCCTCAAACAAGGGTAAATTTAGTAATTCTTCAGAAGGAAATGAAACAATTAAATACCTGAAATCAAAGCAGACAAGTTGTGTGGGGAGGTTCGTAGCCACTTCAGAGGGAGCCACGTGCTGTGCCCCGGAGGGAGCTCCCTCCATTCCACCACGTACTCGCGGACAGCAGAGGCGGCCTCCCTGGGAGGCTCCCACGTCACTAGGATGTTGTCCACACCCCCTGAGTTTGCAGAGACCTGGCCAGGAGCCAGCAACCCTTTATGGGAAAAATGGGGAGGATCAAAAACAAAAATTACTGTAGATAAAGAGATAAAACACAACAACTCATCCTAGCAACGTTTTAGGAAAAACAATTTCTTTTTAAAGGTCTTTAGGTTCACAGATTTAAGTTCATCCTTCTTCTCAGTTCGTAGAGAACTGGCATCTGCAGCTTGGACAAAGACCTTGTGTGGTGTTATTTGTAGAATTATTTTCCCTTCATCTTCCATTTCACTTCCCATTTCTGTGTCCCCAGCGGTATCTGCTCTAGTGGATGTAAAAAGGCACGCTTCTAACCCACCTTATGTGTTTGTTTAGACATATATGTATCCTTGAAAACTCCTGCTGCTTTGTGCTTGTGAGTTCTCATTTCATGAACTGTATTGGGAGTAAATCTAATGCTTCTAACTTTTTTTCCCCACTCAACATTGTTTCTGGGATATATTCATCCTGCTCCTGTATGCAAATTTAGCTCATTCCTTTAGGCTGCTGCCTCAGCCTTTTCTTTGCCTGCAACTCTTTACTGATGTAGACAAAACAGGTGCTGTAATTAATCATAAATTCCTAACTGGGCAGGTCATGCTGGGTAGTCACATCCCAGGCCTATCACTTCTTACTTGAAAGTTTTTTAAGCAAGCCCTGTCCATTGTGCTTGTGCATCTAGGTTAACACACCTTTGAGATGCCAGAAGTAATACTCTTTGAAGGCGCAACCACCCTCAAGAGAATAATCTTCTAATCCTACCCCTGCCTTGCTTTCTCCCACCTTCATGGAACCTTCCTTACGTCCCCTCTTTAATTTCAAACACATAAAAGAAACTGCAAAACTGTTATTCTTAGAGTATTTGAGATCTTTATTCCCCAGCATGTGTCATCCATTTGGCTCAAATAAACTCTTATAAAAGTTCTCTACAAGTCAGGACCTTCTTATTTTGACACTAACACAAGCAAGGGTGCGATGAAAATTCTCTTGCATGTCCTCAAGCAGCCTGTGCAAGAGTGTCTCTGATGCATGTGCATGGAGTGGCTGATGAGAGTAAATCCACATATTTCACTACATATGGCCAGACTGCTCTCTAAAATGGCCAATCAGTTGACATTCCAAAAAGAAAAACTTGAGAGAGCTCATTCCTTCCCCCCCAACACTTGGTATTTTCTGACTTCCTAATTTTTGCCAATCAGATACGTGTAAAGTGGTCTTTAATTGTGGTTTTATGTTTGTTTCCTGATTTCTAGCGTGACTGAGCTTCTCTTCACATATTATTAATCATCTGTCTTTTTCCCCTTATGAGAACTGCCTGTTCATATACTTTGCTCATTTTTTCTGAGTTTCCTGTCTTCTCTCTGAATTGCAGAAATAGGTTTCATATTCTAGATTTGAATCATTTGTCAGTTTTCAACTCTAAAAATATCTTACTCCATTCCTTCGACTCTCTGATAACTTTATGATGTTTGTTGACAATACATACTTTGATGTAGGTAAATCTGTCTATGATTTGCTCATTTTGAGTCTCATTTATAAAATCCTTCCATCTAGAGGTCATGAAGATACTCAACTACAGTTTCTCCTATTGACTTTGGTTTTACCTTTCACATTTAAGTTTCTTATCCAAATCTAGATGAACTTTTTTTAAGGGAATAAATTTTATTATTTATCCCACACAGTGAGTCAGTTTTTTCAAATGTGACGCCATCCCTAACATACATCAAGTTCTATGTATTATTGGGTCTGTGTCTGGTCAGCTTCTTCACCAGAACACACTGTTCACATTACCGGGCTTTGTGACATCTGACGTCTGACTATTTGGTTGGTAAACTCTCTCCCTCACTTTGCTCTTCTTTTTTCAAAATGGTCTTGGTTATTCATAAAACTTTGATCTTCCATGTAGCTTTTAGAATCAGTTTATTAGAGTCCTTGAAAATTCTAGCTGGTATTTTATACTGGAATTAAATTAAACATATAGCTTAATTCAGGGAAAACTGATGTTGTTACAATGTTAAATCGTTCCATTCATACATATGCTGTTTCATTGAAATTACTCAGCTCTCCTTTCATAGTTTTTAATGGACTTTAAAAAATTCCTCAAAGTTTTCATGCATTCTTTGTTAGGTTAATTCCTAGATACTTTATACTTTTAAGTAGCTATATAAATGACATCTTATTTTCTACTTTTTTCTACTATTAATTTGTGTGTGTTATTCTTATTTCTGAAAAAGTTGATAAACTCTAATTAGCTTTATTATTTTTTCTATTGCCTTTGTAGAATTTTCTATATAATAATATTATTAGCTACATACTTAAAATATCTCTTCCTTCTGTTCTTTAAATCTTTTATTTCCCTTTTTAAAATTGTCTCTACATATTTTTATTAAGATGAAACACATATATAATATGTTTTTGGTAGAAAGTTTTAAAAACTAAAAAGTTTTCTTTTATTCATAGTTTCCATATAGGTTTTTAAAAATAATATATTACTTACTGAAAACTTTTTCTAACTAAATACTTTTCTACATCTGTTAAGAATATATCCTTTTTCTCTCTCTCCATATTAATGTGATGAATTACATTGATACATTTTTCTCATATTGTTCCATCTTTAGATTCATTGGACCAACCCTGCTTGACCATTCTGCACTATTATTTTTGCAACCTTTTAAAAATGTAGGCCATTTTTTAGAGAAGTCTTAAGCTTATAGCAAAATAAGCAGAAGGTACAGAGCTTCTCACACACACATTGCCTCCCTTATACCGACATCCTGCACCAGAGTGGTACACATTTTGTAAGATTCTTGATAAAAATGTTCAAGAATTTTTCCCTTTGCCCTGGCTGGTTTGGCTCAGTGGTTAGAGTGTTGGCTCTCAGACCTATGGGTCGAGGGTTTGATTCCGGTCAAGGGCATGTACCTGGGTTGCAGGTTCACTCCCTGGCCTGGCTGGGGTCCTGCAGGAGGCAACCAATCGATGTCTCTCTCTCACATCGATGTCTCTCTCTCTCTTTCCCTCGCTCTCTCCTTCCCTTCTACTTTCGCTGAAAAAAAAAAAATTCCCTTTCATTTACTTTTTTCTCTCACTGGGACTCCTTTTAAGTGGTTATCATTACTTCTTTTTTAAGTCTCTCAGTGTTTTAAATTATCTCATTTTTTTTTTTTTTTTTTTCAACTTCTTTCCCGTATTTGATGCCTTTTGGAAGAGTTTCCTACCTAATCTTCCATTCATTCGTTCAATCTTCTGATGAGTCCTCCCTGCTATCCGACACATTGGCTAAGTTTTTTTTCCCCAGAAAGTGGAATAGTTATATTTTATTATTATTTTAAATATGTTTTTTTGATTTTTTTAAAAAAGAGAGATGAAGGGAGAGAAAGAAACATCAACCAGCTGCCTCCTGCATGCCCCCTACTGGGGATCGAGCCCAAACCCAGGCTGGTGCCCTCACTGGGAATCAAACCGGGACCTTTCAGTCCATGGGATCGCAGTCCACTGAGCCACACCGGCCGGGCTGGCTGAGTTATTTCAACAATTAGACTTTCCTTTCTGAATTTCTTTATTTGGGGCTTCTTCACAACCACCCATTTCTAATTCATTTTTCTATCATCCTCTCTTATCTTCCTTCCTAAGGATACTTATTATGCTTATTCTAAACTCTCGTTCTTTCTGTTGCATTAGTTATATTTTCTATGGCACAAGCTGTTCCATTTGTTGCCTCCCCTCACCCCCACCCTGAACTTGGGTCCCTCAGATTTCTCCTAATTTTCGCCTTTGGGATTATGTTTTATTTTCTTAGATTGATCAGCAGCCTTGACCTTCATTTTTCTGGGGGAGGGGGGGTGAAAGCTTAGCTGTTGCTCCCACAGGTAAGTTTAGGTAAGGAGGAGGAGCTTCTCAGGGTGGACAGTTCCAGGTCAGAGAGCCTGTAGGGATGCAACCTGAGCTCTACCTGTTCCCAGGTTCCCCGTGTGTGTCCCTGGCACCTCCAGAATTTACCTGTGCCTTTATGTCTGCACTGACCTTCACGGGAGAGCGGGGCTGTTATTCTCTTTTGTAACTACCAGGCCCACAGGGTGGATGGCACAAGAAATCTCGAAGGCCAGCCAGCTCACAGGAACTCTTTGCTCTCAGCAACTCTCCCCAGTTAGGTTCCAGGGCTTCCTCCCCCCACCCCTTTTGTTAAACCTCACCCAAGGACATTTTCCCATTGATTTTTAGATATAATGGAAGGGAGGGAAAGAGGGAGAGGATGAGAAAGACAGAGAGAGGAGGAGAGAGAGACATTGATTGATTGCCTCCAACATGACCCTGACTGGGGCCAGGGATCAAACCTGCAACTGAGGTACGTGCCCTTGACCAGGAATCGAACCTGCAACCCTTCAGTCCACGGGCCGACACTCTAAACTCTAAGCCAAACTGGTCAGGGCTCCAGGGCTTCTTTGAAGATACTCTGCTCTGCTCTCAGGACTTTCCTACCCAGTAATAGCAATGCCCAGGCAATGATCCTATCATAACAACACAGGCAAGAAAATGGGACGCAACCAGAAAGTGCTACCTCAGCCCTCCCCCTTCATCACTACTCCCCTTTGCACAGGCGCTCTGCCCTCCTGGCATCCTCAGGGCTGGGCATGGCAGTGAGAGCCTGTAACCTGCATAATTCTGGTTCCTGGAATTCCCCAGCTGTGGTTCTTTTATCTTCATTGGCCTTAATATCTGACTTCCTATGCCAGGACTTTTTTTAATGAAATATACTCATTCAGTAAATATTTATTGAACACCTATGATTTGCAGGACCTTTTGCTAGGTAGGTGATAGGCTAACATAGCCAAAGGGCCTTTCTAACTGCTCTTTTCTCTGGAATTAGCTAAGCAGATCAACTTGACATTGCCCTTCCTCTAAGTCACCACACTTGTCAGTATTTTTTTTTTCACACTACGATAGTTAATTTCATTTGTTCAAGTACTCATACTGCAAGCATTAATCCCAGCACGGGTTTTGATTCTGTGAGCCCAGATTCACATATCTAGGAAGAGAGAAGCAAACTGTGACCCATGTACATGGGTAGGAACTAAAGGCTCATGGTTAATCACACTGTAATTTCTGAATTTCTACAGCCTGGGAGTCTGAAGTCACAGGTCTTTGAGGTCCTTCTGGATGTTCCACAGGGTATCTGCGCTCTTCTCGAGTTGAGCAACCTCATCATCCTTCAGTTTCTGGTTGATAACACTGGTTAATCCCCAAGCATTCAAGATACATGGAAGGCTCAGGAAGACTTCATTCTCAATGCCATACATCCCCTTCACCATCGTTGACACTGGATGAATCCTGGATAGATTTCTCAACATGGATTCAATGAGATTAGCCACACTGAATCCAGTAGCCCAGCTGATGTATCCTTTTGGCTTGATGACTTCATAGGCACTTTCAACCACCATCTTGTGCACTTCCTCCCAGTTCTCACTGTCATTGTCCGTCCCCATTTCTGGATTCAGTACCTGCAGAGAAACGCCGGTCACATTCACGCCACTCCACACGGCCACAGTTGAGTCTCCATGTTCTCCCAAAATCCATCCATGGCAGCTGCTGGGATGAATGCCAAGTTTTTCAGACATAAGATAGCGAAATCTAGCAGAATCCTGATTACATCCACTTCCAATCGCATGGTGCTTGGGTAATCCACCTAGTTTCCAGGTAACATATGTGAGAATATCCACTGGGTTAGAAACCACGATTATGATGCAATCAGGACTGTACTTGATGATCTGAGGAATAATGAATCTGAAGACATTAACATTCCTCTGCACCAGGTTGAGACGACTCTCTCCCTCTTGCTGGCGAACTCCTGCAGTTACCACCACAATCTTAGAGGTGGCGGTCACAGAGTAATCTTTATCGGCCACAGTTTTAGGTGTCTGAAGAAATCAGCTCCCATGCTGCAGATCCATCATTTCTCCTTGGAGTTTATCTTCCACAACATCCACAAGAGCAAGCTCATCAGCCAGAGACTCTCCCAGAATGCTGATGGCACACGCATGCCAACTTGTCCAACACCCACGGCAGTAATCTCATTGTTTGGGATTCCTGCCTTTTCTTCTGCAGCCGGTGCAGTCAGTTTTTCCTTAAGAGTTGCCACTGTGCACAGGGGAGAGAAGGCTTCCCGGAGGGTAGTAAGAGTGGCGCCGAGAAGACAATGTCTGCCACATGCTTCTGCTCTGGCGCAGGATCCCTTGCCAGTATTTTTTAACCTATTGCTGGATTCCAAGGGACTTAGATGGCATATACTCAATAAAGGACTCCTGAGTGAATAATAAGGTAGAGGCCAACTCTAAAATAGTGAATGCATCATTTTCAGAGGTTGTTATCAAATCTAAACAAAGAGCCTAGAATGGGCCCAGAAAGTTCATGAGGTTTATATCCCTGAGACTCATCTGCAGAGAGGTCTGAAGAAGTAAGGTAATCTGACAGACTGCATTTAAAAAGCAGCAGGCTACTAAACAGTGTTATGAGTTCAATCTCACTCACAGAATTCACTTCTTAAAAGTTACATATGTAGTACTTATCCACTGAAGAAAAAATTTTAAAATAGAAAAAGCCAAAGGGAAGGAAAATCACCTGTAATCCCATGATGCAATGATAACCTCTATCAACATTTCCATCCATATTCCACTAAATTGCAAAAATGTACTCTCATGTAAATGTTTATTTTAAATGACATCATCCCATATACACTATTGAAAGCCTACCTTTGTCCTTATTATGCGCATCTTCCCATGGCCATGAAACATAGCACAACATCCCTCTAATGCTAGTGTGGAAGGTACGCCGCGGAGAGTCAGGATATGTTCAACCAGTTCCCCTATTATTTTACGTTTAGTTGGTTTGTGCTGTTTCACTCTTTTTTTTGTTTTTGTTTTTCCCAACAAAGATCTTTTTGCCTATATTTTTAAGCAATTATTATTTGCTGAGGATACTTTCCTAATGCTAAGATGTCTTGGTCAAAGATATGTTTATATTTATTTTTTAATCCTCACCTGAGGATATTTTTCTATTTATCATCAGATAGAGCAGGAGGGAGGGAAAGAAGGAGGGAGAGGGAGAGAGAAACATCGACTGGTGGCCTTCCAAACAACCCGACCAGGGCTGGGACGAACCCCACCCGAGGTATGTGGCTTTGACCAGATCAAACCCGTGACTCATTGGTCCGCGGGCTGATGCTCTAACTGCTGAGCCAAACTGGCCTGGGCAAGATATGTTTATATTCAAAGTTTGTTACATATGGGCCAAATTGTTCTTGAGAAAGTTGTACTAGTTTACGCACCCACTAGGAGGGCACAGAATACTTTCTCCTAAACTCTCACCAATGTGGATTATACTAATTCTGCTTAGTCTTTTTTCAGTCTGATTTGGTTTCTCATGTTTTTTCAAAATTTGCATCTCATTGATTGCTAATTAGGCTGCACATATTTTCTATCTTTATTGTTCTTTTTATATTTATTATTTAAGTTGCCTGTTATTTAATGTAAACTGTAATTGAAAAAAAATTCAAAAAAACAGAAAAAAATCTGTTAACAAATGTTAACATTTGTTAGATCTGAAAATGGGAACATGGTTTTATTATGTTACTCTCTGAAAAAAAATGATGTTTTTAACATTTTATTTTTGGTGTTTTAAAGTATTTTTACTTTACTATGCAGCGTTTGAGCTTTCCCCCCTGCAGTTAATCCATTTTTTCCTTGAGGTTTCTGCCTTAGGTGCTTGTCTCACAGGAGGGAGAGATTACCAGCTGCCCACCAAACACCCCCCTCACCTTCTTTAGCAAGACAACATGCTGCCGGAAATATACTCCTGAGCCTCCCCTGCAGCTCGGTGTGGCCAGGCCACCACTTAGTCAATGACTGCAAGTGTGTTGTGTGTGACCTGAGGCAAAGCTCCCCAAGAAGGGGTGAACCCTTCTCTCTTCCTTCTTTTCTGCTGTTGAGATGGAAAAGCTAGCGCTCTGGCAGCCGCCTTGGACCATTTCCATCCTGAGGATGAAGCCGACTTGGCAGAAGGAACAGAGAGAAGGAGCCTGGAGTCCTGATGGTGTCACAAAGCCAGCACACCGGCCCCGGCCCCGTAGACGGCTGTCTACTTCTGACCTCTTCAATGTGCGAGAGTAGATAACCACGACACTCAGGCCTCTGGTCGGAGCAACCCTTACTCCTGAGAGCAATTCCTAACTCATACGCCAACCCAAGGTTGTAGCAATATTTACTTGTACTTTCTTCTAGTAATTTAATTTTTATTACTTTATTATCTCTCTGTTTATAGATATGTGACTGAAAGGATATATAATCAAGATTTAACGAGTATATATAAAATAATTGTGTTTTGGTAGAAGCTTCTTCAAAATTATGATTGCTAGACTCACATGTAGATAAAATTGTTACACTGAATTTTAAGGAAGGATCTAATTAGAGTTTTATTCTATTAAGTATTTTTGGGAAAAGTTAGGCCTTTTTATAACACAGATCCATTAGTATCCATTCTTTTTTGACTAATTACAGGCTTTTATCCAGAGAAGTTAGTTTTCAGAGGATGCAGCCATAAAATGTGTATAGCTAGTAGGGAGATTTTTAATGTAGCTAACTGGATACATATCTAAACTTGTGAAATAAAGAGCTGTAGTATAGTAAAAATTTTACTACAGTTTCATTACAGCCAGAATGTCAGTTTAATACTGTTGGTTTTAAAATAAGTTTTGATTTATTATAAGTGTAAAATGTTTTCTCCTAGAATGTGACAGCACATATTCTTGCTTCTGGAAAAATTAGCCAGATGTTCGTGTTCAAATCAGTGTAACAAATATTTCCTTAACTAACATTTATTAAGCACCTGCTCTGTATTAGTCTCTGCATTTAATCTTACAGAGACCTGCAAAGCATATGATGTCATCCCTACTTTAGAGACGGGGAAATGGAAGCTCAGAGGTGTTAATTCACTTGTCCAAGCCACTCGTTGTCCGAGTGGGAAAGAGCCTTTGAGAGCTGTTGACTCTGAAGTCTAAATTCCTATGCTACTCATGTCAGGCCCTGGGCTGAGCCTGTGGAAGATAAGAGATGAGTAAGACACAGTTTCCCACAGGCAATATTAAAAAAAGTCGGCACTTACCTGCCCCACACAGGTCCGTTATGTTAACACGAGTGGGCAGGGAACTGCCTTTTGAGTTAGCAGCAGACACAGCCGCAGCCCAGTTCTCAGTTCTGGGAACGACCCAGGTCCAGGAGGTATTCTCTGTGATGTTCCGTAGTGTGGTTTTCTCCCCTGCCACCTCCAGCAAGGTGACATGATAGTGGAGGATTTTCCCTCTTGCCTCTGAGACACTCAGATACTGCAACAAAACACATCCACTTACTGTGTAGGCTCAGACAAGGACACTGGATGCTCCGTGCCTGGACCTCGTGGTCCCCTGCAGCCAGCCGGTGGCTACATCTGAGTGACCTTTTTACACCTTCTCATCTCCTCGACTGCACACCTTATGCTGCTGCCCACACCCATCATTTAGAGAAAAATATCACTTAACATTTTTACAAGCTAATTCTTAAAAACACATTGATTTTCCTTTCTTGCTTCAAGATGAAACTTCCTAACAGTAGAAAACTCAATGATATCCAATGGAACAAGAGTAGGATCTAAACTCAGACCTGGGTTTGAGTTCTAGCTCTACCAATCACCAGCTGTGAGGGCCAGGCACCCAACCCCTCGAATCCCCATTTCTAACTTGTGACACACACACACACACACACACACACACCTTTTTAAATAGAAAGTGCAATGTTGCTCACAAAATCAAACACAAGATTTTCAAGAGCTAAACTAGTGAAATCTATACTTGGTGACTTGGATTAGCCACCTGTGCTAGGAAACCAAGACACTGTTTTTAAATGTGTAACTAATGAGTTTCTGGAACTGCAAAAATTCCAATTGAGATCATTTGGGAACAATTCCAGAAAGTAGGCAGAAAACTAGTTATTTGCATTGTGACCCTGTCTGGATAAGGACCATGGGAAACAGAAGCGATGGGAATGGACAGCTGCCAGGGTCAGCACCGGCAGTGCCCGTCCATGCCCGCTGCATAGAGAGGGAGGCTTAGCTCACCAGACTTAAACACTACAGTTTTCTTGGCAAGGCTGTTCGTCCCATCGGGTGCAGGGTGGCCTCGAGCTGCTGAAAGACACACCTTAAAATTGTGAAATACCCCGTTCTCGGATTCCCTACTCCCTAAGCAATCTTCTAATAATTTGTTTCCTATGTAGTTTGTCAGGAGAGGCTGGGCTAACATGAACATCTGGTTCACTTAAAATTTGTATTTTTCACTTTAAGTGAGCAAATTGCCCTTCTGATTATAATTTGGCTTCCGAAATAACTAGCATACTGAGAAAGAATGTTCCTATCTGCTGACTCAAGCCTTCTGGTTCGCCTAACAGCTGTATTTTTCACTATAAATTAATCACGAGCATGCAGCTTTTAATTATATTTTAGTCTCTGGGAGCTTGATTAATGCAGGTCCTGTCCAGGTGCCTCTCTGGATCCACGAGGCCCAAGACTGGATGTTAAACCATGGCCAGTGCACCAGGTAAATGCTGTGCTGCTGAGGGCTGCTTGGGGAGCACAGCCAGCCCTCCCTAGAAGACGTCTTTGGGTCCTGGCAAGAACCAAGAAAATGTCCATCATTCCAAATGTCCATCTTAGCTGTTCCCATGGATCTGTCGTATGAATTAAAATAGGTGAGTGCTTTTGAAATTGTGGTGTTCTAAACTTATTAATAAACATGTCCTTTGTCATAAGAGAAAAAAGAAAAAGACAAGATAAATTAAAGTAAAATCTGGCTAGTAAAGACCAATTCTTCAGTTCTCTCTCATTCTGTCCTTCCCTATCTGTTTCCTCTGGAGGTCCAGAGGTAGGACTACTACCCCACCCCCAACCCATGCCACCCCCCACCCGAAGGCAGCCCCATAGTTAACCAGGTTCACCAAGCTCTCCATTCTTCCCACGGACACAGAGGCTTCCGTCCCACGCTGACAACTAAGCAAACAGAGCCCTAATTGGAAAAAACATCTTGCACATCAGTCTTTATTGTCTCTCTCATTGTCCCTCATAGGCACCTCAACAATCTCATTCAGTCCTATGGTAGAGTGCTGAAAGAAGGGGGCAATGTCAAGTCATCCGGGATCCAATGAACTTGCCTAGTGACTGCTGTGAAAATCTGCCCAATGATTGATCTAGGAAACAAAGGTGCGAATCTGAAAGATGAGTGACGGTTCCCAGAGGACAGTAAAGGGCCTGCACCATACTTTTGCATTTTTCCTTGGATATCCCATATCTTAAAGTGTCAGTGAGAAAGTGAGGCTGGGGTTGAGGGAGTTAGACATATAAATATGGTATCCTGCAAGTTATGCTTGTATAAAATGTCAAACTCGGGTTTTGGGACAGAGGTTAACCATTCTCAGGTAATTGGTCTCCTTCACCAAATTCAAAAAACAGGCCTCAGTTGCCAACAGGGTCCTTGGATCAAAACAATTCAGTAAGCCAATGAGAAAACAAGTATTTTTTATCCAGCTGGGCTGGTAACAACTGAAGCAACTGAAAACAGTATAATTAGTTTGTCTTTTTTAAAAAAAAAAAAATAGCAACATAAAATTTGCAAAAAATGTATGTCAACCATCACCCTTGGATTACCCTTGGCCCTGGAATGGAATATCATCAGAGAACAGCAGAACAGGAAAAGATTCTACAGATTAATAATTAATTCAACTTTCCCTTTCATCAGTGAGGAAACTAAGCCCCAGGGAGATGAAGTGGAACCCAGGGCTCCTGACTGGTGGACTGGTGAACCCTCTACTCCGATGTCTTCTCCTTACACTAGTGAGTCTGAGACGATGAACTGGTAAGTATGGGCCACTGTGTCTCATAGCTGGAATCCCCAGTCACCCTTCTGCCCCCAAATTGCACAGCAGCTTCTCCAATTGTGAAGTTGTAGTACATTCTGATGTGGAGCATCAACAGTGGACGTGAGGTCAGCAATTTCAGAGTGGTGGACATCCAGAATTCTTTTTTCCCAGAGACAATGCCATGAGTCATGAGACAAGCTGTGAACCCACAAGGACTGCAACCTGAGGAGCCAGCTGGGTCTTTCCAGATGAACTTATTTTTATTTCACTGTTTGTTTATTTGGGTGAGTGATAAGTGAGAAACTATCATTTATTGAGCCATATCATGAGACAGGAGCTTACACCTATTACATTTAGTCCTTAAAACTCCCCACTCTGAGGAGGGTGCTGAAGCTTGGGAACAGTTGAGAAACTGACTCAAGTAGTCCCCACAGAAAAATCCTGTGAGATTTTAGTGCGCCCTCTGGTGGATATGGGAGAGGAAGGGCAGTCTGGACCATTTTTGGCATCCCTGGGAGTGTCTGGAAGACCTGGTCATTCTTGTACCTTCTTGGGCAGTGCAGAAGCCAATCTCAAGCCAGTGTTCCTACTGTCACCCTTTCCTATTGGCAAGAGTTAACTACAAAAGGAAAAGCTGCCCGACTGCCCCTCTCCTTCAGTTTTCTTCCGACTCTGTCCAGTGGGAAATGACTTAACTTCATGAACTTAGCCTTTCTGACTTTGGCTTGTCGGAGAAGCAAAGAGTGGATAACTCCCTTGTAAACCCATTACAAGAGTTCTGCTGCCTGAAAAGGCTTTCAGCATCAGAAATAACTCGATGACTGTAATCCATGATAGGACAAAATGTAGCATGTCAGAATTCAGGGCTTCTATTTTTTGTTTTGTTGTAAAGTACATTAGAGGAAGGGTGTTTCTGTGGATTGATGACTTATTTCTTCTTAGGACTTAAAAAATAAACTCCTGATAAGACTTTTTTAGTTTGTTTTAGGCAGACCCTTGGCTTCTTTGCTCCACTGCACATCAGCTGTGTGACCCTGGGCAAGTCATTTTACTTCTCTGAGGGTCAATTTTTTAATCTGTAAAATGAGGATAGTTCTATGTACAGCATAGGCTTGCTGGACGATTCAGTGGGCTAAGGGAAGTAAACTGTTGCACAGAGTGCTTGGCGCATAACAGGTGTTAAGACAGTGGGTGGGTTCCCTTCTCTTACTCTAATATAAAAATCATCACAATGGGCACTTTTCCCATCACAGTCATATGCTTCTTCTGTCAATTGATGGAGAGCCAAGCCATCTTGACTTGGCTTATATTACAGCTCTATAAGGAAGTCTCACCAATGTCATACAGTTGATTACAAAGAACATATACTTTGTGGCTTTAAGTCTGGCTGCCTTAATTTCAGAACTCATGGCTATGTTCAGCGACCCCAATCCAAGAGGAGTGCCTCAAAAGACATCCCTCATCTGGAAGTCTTTTTATTTTTATTTTAAATCCTCACCTGAGGACATTTTTCAACTTATCTTCAGATAGAATAGGAGGGGGGAAGGGGAGAGAAACATGGATGTGAGAGAGACACATCGACTGGCTGCCTCCCACACAACCCGACCAGGGCCAGGGACCGAACCATAACTGAGGTACGTGCCCTTGACCGGAATCAAACCCGCGACTCTCTGGTCCGCAGGCCGACGCTCTGACTGCTGAGCCAAACCAGCCAGGGCCCTCATCTGGAAGTCTTAAACATCACTGTATTGAACAGATTTATCTATGCATCTGTCTACTCACTAGCCTGCCAGCTTGTCTTTGCATCCTGTGTCGTGCACAATGTTTGCCTCCTAACAGTGGCTTTGCAAACACTTTTCACAGTTCTCGTTAATCTTCACAATAACCTCATGTGGTATAGACCATTATTTACTTTACTCATGAGGAGAATAAGGCACAGAGAGGTTAGCCACCTTGCTCAAGAACACACAGCCATGAAGTGGTAAAGTTGGAACATGAACTCAGGTAGCACAGCTCTAGCTAGAGGATGAGCTCTTAACCACTGTGATGCTAGCACGTAGCAGACACTGCCCAGGTGTTACATTACACTGAACTGATTTAATTGCTAGTCATACCTCATGGCAGCTACCTCACATAATTTCTATTCCCATTTTGCAGCTAGAAAAACAGCAAAATAATGGAAACTTTCATAAGAGCAAAACTTGAACACCCCCTTCCACCTCTGCTTTCTAGCTTCTGTGAATTCTCTGCTACCTCCTCCCTTATTTTTGTCACTGACTCCTACATTACAGCTGGTATAATATGTGTGACTAGTAAGCAAGGGAAAGCAACCTATTCTTTCTGAAACAAGCTTCCGATGGGACAAGGTTTGGGAAAAGGAAAGAGAGATATTTGAATATTGTGACAAACTAGTGAAATCTTCCCATCTGCTGCTTTTGTG